ACAGAATAATGCGGCTCGCATTGTTCTCCGCAAACGCAAGTTCGACCATGCAAAAACACTTCTGAGAGAGTTGCACTGGCTGCCGGTGCGTGCTCGCATAGAGTACAAAATCGCAACTTTGTGCTACCGCTGCTTACATGACCTGGCGCCGTCCTATCTGAAAGAGCTGCTGACGCCTTATGTACCCACTAGAGAGCTCCGCTCATCCGATAGTGGCAAACTCTCGACACCACGTGTTTGTCTTGAGACTAACGGAAAGCGCACTTTCGCATTTGCTGGTCCAACAATTTGGAATGCCCTTCCTGTCGATCTCAGAAACAACCAGACACTGAAGTCCTTTAAAACCGATTTAAAGACACATCTATTTTGCAAACACCTTCTGGGATGATTGACAACCTTATTTTCCAGTTAATGCATAATGGCTGTGTTGCGTATGGTTGAAATGGCTAGAAAGACTTTGCCATTGTATGCTTGTACTTTTTTTTGTAGTGTTGCGTTTGTTTTAAATGTGGTAAATTATAGATTTGTTTTTTGTTGACTTTGTACCGCGCTTCGAGCCTTTGGGGATAAAGCGTGTTTTTGAAATGAACTTTATTATTATTATTATTATTACTGTCATATAATATATGGCCAACCTCTGTCTAAAAAGTAGCTTGTTCCTAGCTTAGGTACTTTCACTAAAATGCACCTTCTGCCAACTAATGTAAGGGTAATATTGTTTTACTGTGTTATATTTAGTGTTATAAATTTAATACCAATGAAGCAGCATATATCATTTTAAAAATTGTGTTCAATGAATTTAAATCAAATTATTACATTATTTATCACGTGGCTTTTATTATTCAAAAACTGTCTTTCAGAACTAAAACAACAACCATAATACTTTTACATTAACAATCTGAAATTTATTTAATCTATATTAATCTATATAATCTTTATTTAATTAGATTTGATCCTAGATTTTCTTTTATGCTATGTGTCTATGTGTCACATTAGTTCTTATTTATTGTTGGAAATATATAAAATGATTTTTTTTTCTTTCTTTTTTCATAATATCTGTATTTCTATAGTTTCTCATTTATAACTTTAATTCTAAAAACTTAAAAAAGTAACAATTTTGTTACTTGAAATCTAATCAATAGAATTTGGTATCAGCTGACATGGATATGACCCAATTAGAGGCTTTTCTAACTGCCCAAACTAAAAAGAAAGAAGGAGCCCTTTCAGATGAATTAGCAGCTGCATTGAGAAAGTTCTGGAAAGCAAACAAAATCAAAATCCATGACAGCATTGTTTCTCAAACAATGTGGGGGAACACTTTGGAAAAGGTAGCCTGGCGTGTAGACCTAAAAACTCAGTCTCGAAATGCTGAACAAATCAACAGCCCCTCTGCAATCATGGAACTTCACATTGGAGACAATCTTAACAAAGCAAAGGTGACATTTTTAAAATTTATAAAAAAGTAGTGAATTTTTAGTATCTTACATTGACATCTAATTCTAATCTACAGTAACAAATGAATATGATTAAATTAATTTTTTATCACATATGTTCTATTGGATACCGTATAAAAATTATTATTATTTTAAAAAAAATCTTCTTGTTTGTTTGAACTTTTGCAAATTGACATCATAACATAATTTTTCCTGTTAACAGCTGATTTTTAAGCTATGTAATATTAGTGTTTAAGCTATGTTGTAATATAAGTTTTACAGTTTCTTATTTATAGTAAGCATCTTTGTACTGAACATAAAAAAATATTTATTTTTTTTTAAAGTTTAACATGTGACCTTTTATCCTCTATATCACATTGGGACATTAAAAAATGTATGCAATTTTTATTTTATCGCACACAAAATCGAGTCAAATGGAGAATGTAGTGTATTGAGATTATTCAGCTGAACAATCATGAATGTGCTTTCATTCTTGAAAATATACTATTACTTTGCAGGGACCAGAAGTTGTGAGATTTGAACTTGATGAAGTTAAAGTGACACAGATGTTGAACAGCATGCAAGACATAGAAGCTCAGATAAACAAATTCACCAAAAAATAAATAGTTACAGATTTCTAAATTATTTCCAATTAAAATGTATGTTGATTATTATTAAATTTATTGTATGAGTTTGTTATCCCATGGGAAATTGTGTTTTGTTAATTAATGTGAATAATAATTTGTATAATTATAATCCATGCATATTTCTGTTATGTAAATAATAATAATAAAATTGTTGAACTCGCGTTAAATTTAAATTTCTTTCTGCCAACATTTTGACTTCAAGATTGTTTCATGTGTTTGGTCATTACTGCAATGTTTTTTTTAAAGTTTTACTAAATTAGTCACTAACTGGTACTTGTTCACTTTCTCACTACCGGTACTCATTGTAATGAGATTTCCAACCAAGGAAACAACCTGTTGAGTTGGTGTTTTTGTGTGTGTGTTTTTGTTGGGAGTGGGGTGACATTAGAATAAATTTTGTTGTTTAACTTAAATAAGTTGATGAGACTAAGGATTCAGATCAATGTAGGTGACATTTTGCTTATATTAAGTTATCCACGGTAGTGACATATTCTTATGTTGTGTTATGGCCCCTGTGGTGTTCAATTTATTTGAGAAGGTAGATTTTATACACACTTCTGGCCACAAAGGAAGGAATTCAGTGCTCTATAAATGTACTTTATTACATGGAATAAAAGTATGAATAAAGATACAGAATATCTTCATATAAAGAACTGAATAAAGGTCTAAAATAACAACATATAATCCTCACAATAATATAAAGAATACTAACAATATATAATCCTCACAATAATATAAAGAATACTAACACTAAATTCCTGGAAAAAATGTGATATTGAAAAAAGTACTTGGCTATGATTACGGTTACTGCTAGCTATTAGAGGGCCCTAATCTAGTACTAGTACTTAGCAAATGCCACAGAAAGCTAGTCACACATCTCGTCTCTAAGAGTCTCTCCCTGGCGGAATACAACCAATATTTATACAGATTCAGTTAAAATAATTTCAGTTAATTCAGCTTAAACTCACAGAGTGTTAATAAGACTTTCACTACACGGTGGCAGATAGTCATAGTAGTAGTAGACTTCATGCTCTTATCTTAAGTTCAGAATGAAAACAATCTACTTTCTTTTTTAATCTTCAGAGTGAGTTCACTGTCGGCTGTCAGTGTCATTTCAGAAATAACTGAGATACTGGTGCACATCTCCAAAAGTGACAACTTTCAATGCTGAGTTACCATATCTGAAATTTTAAATCAAATACCACCTAGGCTGCGAGTGCGAAGGCACATGCAATGAAAGCAGAAGATATTAATCTCAAACCAGCCAAAGATTGGTCAATACTTTAAGTTTTGGAATTCATTTATAGCTGGATGGTACTTCCTAGACTTAGAGTCTCTCCCAAACTTCTCAAATAGCCTACAGTTCTTTCTAACGATACTTCTCAATAACCTACAGTTCTTTCTAACGATACTTAATAACCTACAGTTCTTTCTAACGATGCTTCTCAAATAACCTACAGTTTTTTTTCTAACTATACTTCTCAAATAACCTACAGTTCTTTTTAAAGATACTTCTCAATAACCTACAGTCCTTCCTAACGATTTACATATTGATTTTTGTGTGAGAAGCTTTTCCAAACTGAACGTTATCAAGAAATATTTGCAATCTACGATGCGGCAGTTCAAGCTTTCTGGTCTTTCAATTTTGTCAATTGAAAAATGAGAAGAATGTTGATTTTGGTGGAGCAAATGACAGGTTTGCATCCAAAAAAGTAAAGCTTTAACTGTAAATGCCAAGTTTATTCTTCCAAAAAAAAAAAAAAAAAGAAGTTTCATTTAATTTTTAAAACGTTTCCTTAAATTTAAATGCCATATTTGTATTTGCATACTTTTATATTTTGTTGCTGTTAATTGAAAAATGAGAAGAATGTTGATTTTGGTGGAGCAAATGACAAGTTTGCATCCAAAAAAGTAAAGCTTTAATTGTAAATGACAATTTTATTCTTCCAAAAAAAAAAAAAAAAGAAGTTTCATTTAATTTTTAAAACGTTTCCTTAAATTTAAATGCCATATTTGTATTTGCATACTTTTATATTTTGTTGCTGTAGGACTTAATTTAAAAACCAAAATTAATATAAACTATTCTGTATTATCTGATTAAGAATTACTCTGTGCATGTCGGGGGTGGGAGGGGGGGTAATCCGGAGGTGGGGGTGACACCATGAGTGTACCACACCGGGTGACTCCAAGCCTAGTGATATTGTTGTTGCACCCCCCCCCCCCTCTCGTTTTGCAAATGCCAGGGACAGACTTGTGTGATCAACGCGCTCACTCACAGGAAGCCAGTGGAGATCTTTAAGAACGGGGGTGATGTGATCAGATTTCTTTATATGCGATACAATGCGTGTTGCAGTATCTTGAACCTTCTGGAGTCTCTGAATTTAGTCTTGAGGTAAACCCCACAAACCATAGAACTGATATGAGTAAGTTCGCTGTCAGTCAGTGTAGAAGCCAAAAAGGTCTTTAACCACCGTATTGGACAAGGGGATCTCTGAAGCACCAACTTTTATCGATAGCAACCTTTCCGAATGTTGGCATCAGAACCACATAATATAAATGCCTCTGTCTTATCGTCATGTAATGTTAAGTCTTTTTGATGCAATCCATGATTTCATCACAAGACAGCAGTCATCGACAGCTTGCACAGCAGCAGCACAGTCCAAAGGTTCAGGGCAGAAAGTCTTGTACAGTTCCGCGTCATCCTCAAATAATTTGCGGTATACACCACAACCCTAAATAACTCTGCCAACCTGGCTAGTTTACATGGAGAATAGGATAGGTCCTAAAACTGAGCCCTGTGGCACGCCGCAGGTAACGGAAGTGTCCATGAAAGATGCTTGATTCACTACAATGTCCTGTCAGGCAGATAAGAAGAAAACCCTAAGTGCAGTTCCAGAGATGCCTGCCTCATTCAGAAGTCTCGACAGAAGAAGCTCATGGTCAATTATATCCAAAGCAGCACTGACGTCCAACAGGACCAATAGTGTCAGATCACCGCGGTCAGCACTACAAGGAACATCATTCATGACACGGAGCAGTGCCGTCTCACAATTGTGTCCAGGTCGATATGCAGATTAAAACTTATCAAACAAGTTATAAGTGTTAAAATGCTGCAAACATTTCTCAAGAATCTTAGATACAAAGGGCAGGTTGGAGACCGGGCGAAAATTCTTGCAGCCATTTAGGTCCAAGCCACATTTTGTAAGCAGAGGCTTACCGACCGCCGCCTTGAAGAGACGTGGGACCGTGGCAGACTAAAAGCTACTATTCACAATGTTAACCAGGACAGGAATTAAGACTTCTCGACTGTCCAAAACAATCTTGGTTTGGATGGGGTCAACCATAGAAGATGTAGGTCTAGATGCCATGACGAATCGTCTCAACTGTTCTTGTGAAACTGGAAATAATTCCTCTAGAGGGTTGCCTTCAAAGACATTCTCCACTGCAGACAAATCACAACGCGTTCCTCAAAGCTCTGTCTTATTGTTTCAATTTTGAAAGTGAAAAAGTCGCTCATTTTAACTGCAGCCTGCTTGCTTCTCATGGCAGGCAAAACAGGGGGGTGCTGATTTCTTCCCGAAAAGGTCATTCACTCCAGAGAACATCTCATGAAAGTCAGTACCTACTGCCTAAAGGAGAGATTGAATCGAGGGATTATTTGCAAAGACTATTCCGAAAAGAATTCATATCCATCTTCTTGAACTTCTTAACTTGAATTTTCTTCCTCTGAGCAGCAGGCCTAGCCATATTTATTGGAAACCGCACAATGAAGTGATCAGACAAGAGAATATCGTCAACATTCACAGACTAAACTATATTACCGCTTTGTCGGATCTCGATAGAACCCAGTACAAGACATGACCACTCCTGTGCATTGGTTCAGAAATATGCTGAACTAAATCCGCCGAGTCCAACAACTGCGTAAGAAGACGAATATGCCTGCAATATCTTCCTGGAAGCTTTGATACGAAAACCCCCCCCCCCCCACGAAAACCACCACAAAATGGCCCCGGACACGCAGCGCCGCCACTCGCACCCTCATTTTGTCTTACAATACCAACAAAATTATTTTAAATAGTTTTTTAATCCCAACCTCTCACTTCTGGTACCCGGGTACGAATAGCCCCTTCGTATTAATATTATACAATGAGTCCCTTTGAAATTTTCGGACCCGGGTCCTTTTAGACTAAATGCTATTCGGATGTCATTTGTGGTATTTTATTTAAATTAAACTGAAGAAGTAAGGTTATAAACACATAGTCCATTCAATTATCTTTCATTTGATACCAAATTTTGTCTTACAAACCCAACAATAATATTTAAAATATTTTTTAATAAACCCAACTTCTCACTTTTTTCTTGGTCTGAATCCCGGATCCTAATAGCCGCAGCCAAAAAAAAAATAAATAAATGTCTTCAATCATCAACTTTTTAATACTGTTCAATATCAACTTTAATTTCAGAAGATAAATTATTCATTATGAATGGTTTTAAAATGTAAAACTAATCTCAATATGCAGAAAAGAATTAAAGCAATTAATTAATTTTTTTCTTGTTATCTAAAAATTTATTTTCCTTTATTTTCACTTTAATCTCTTTTATTTTTAATGCTGCCTATTATGAAATATGTAAAAAAAAATTACCTCTGTTAAGATTTCCAAAGTTTTTGCCCGATTTCCAAATTATTCCCCGGTTCCCAATGCGGGTTGTGAATTCACAAGATCTTGGGATATTTCCCAAGGTGTGGTAGCCTTGTTTGTAAACACAAATTCTTACTTTAGATTTGTTTGTATTCATATCTGGGAGAAGTAAAACTTGTTGACGAGAGTTATTCCCCTTTAAGAAGTATCCAACTTGTGCTTCGCATTTATGATATTAAGTTTAGGATGTACCGATAATAATAATATTGTGGGTAAAAAATCGGGAAACATGCAATCCACTAACTTTAAATTTTAAAAGTCAAATTAAATTGCAAAACTCTTTCAATAGTTATTATGAATGAAATAGCAAAACGAAGTATGTGGAAGCTTGAACTAGAGAACCTATTCTCTAGTTCAAGCTTCCATATACCTCGTTTTGCTATTTCATTCATTTACTAGGCTTGAATGCAATCCTTTAATTTATATTCAATAGTTATTAACAATATGTGTAGCATGACGCCTCTAAAAGTAAATCTCCTAAAAGTGTGTGCCCCAAAAAGCGTTGTTTATTATTTTTTAAAATTTATTTAGAAAACTAATACTGTCGGTTACGTGAGTTAGGTGTCTAAATAAATTGAACATTGAGTATGATCATTGATGGGATTAGGGCTTGGTCGCTAACAGACACGTTTCAGTGTTGTCCTCCTGGGCGGGCCCGATGAATGGCGGCTGAAAAACAACAACTATTTAATAATGATCATTTTAGTTTATTAATTCACACATTTCTGGCACATTTCTTAGAGAGATTTGTGTCACCGACGTCTGCTATAGTTAGGTATATAATGCTACCAACATTCTGAAGACATTCTGCACTAAATGGACACGAAAATGATCCAACGTGATCGGGCCTGACCAATACGACACACGAAAGGTGGCCAGTGGTCAGAGCCCACTTTGAGCCTCGCATACCCGTGTTGGCGTGGCCCAGCTATCCACATTCACTGTACTGATTCGCT